ACTTCTTGTAGAATAGCACAAGATGCACCAGGATTCCAACTCACTGCGATGTAAACTTGTCAGCGTGTTGCAACATACATCTGTTGATATAATTGCTTCATTCCCTCCTGCTTGCTGAAGGTGAATTAATAAGTAAAAGCAGCTGCTGTACAGCAAACCTGGATACACATGAGTCTTCATCGCAAACAGTTGGAGACAAATGGTGTCTGTGACATGGATAAATGAAACGTATTGACTACTTTACTCACATCTCTCACATCACTAATATGCTGTTTTCATATAGCAGAGTTATTACATCTTCAATAGGTTTTCATTTTCACACTGGATGAGGGATTCTGTGTCGGGACTGCTCCACAGTGCTGACACATTACCGCCCAAGTAGGACAGTCAGACACTGATATTAATCTATAATCCATTTGAGGTGCAGCTTCCAGCTGTAGTGCTATCTTTTGAAAAGGATACGGGAATGAAGAAGCACAGTGGCGACTAAAAACACATAAATCATCCTGAAATGGTGAGGTCACTTCCTGTTCAATAGAAATAACCAAACACAGCAGAATATGATGGAAATTATAGATAATGATTTTTTTTGTCATTAAAAAGTGATGGGTGGCGATTAAAAGGTAATAAAATGATACCTGTAAAAGGTTTATCAAACGTGACAAAATGATTCTCATTTGAGCATCTCATCTCCTGCAAGCTTGTTATCTTTTAGACCAAAGAAAACTTCTGAAGAAAATCACTGAACAAGATTCAAAGTGCCAGAAGAAGCTTCTGTACCTGACACATTACTTTCAGCTCCTTATTATAAACAGTGAGTTACATTACATTTACTTAGGCGTGCTCATCAAATGTATTTAAAAACTTGTTTACCAGCATATTTCATTCTTCTATATGAACTCTCATACGAGTTTATATGCTTAAAAATAAGCATATTGGATAACGTCTTACAAAAGAAATGAAAAGGTAGATGTTAAAGAGACACGATACAAATGAAGTGCAGGGTTTGAGAAGAAGAAACGGCAGCAGATGGCTAGAGATCCTTCTTTATAGGTGCGTGGCCTCAGGTTTGTAATCCTTCTCTGTGGGCGATAAACCCAAGCCTCAATTATCTCCTCCTGTCTGTATTTAGAACAACACGTGAACTAACCATGGAGTTCCCTTGTTTTATTGCATTCATTTAATATTCCACCATACAGACAAGAGGCTTTGGTCTTCAGAGCTCTGACTGAATGAATGGCATGTAATAAGAGGAAAGAACTGAGGTGTCATGATTTGAGAAAAGTCCCCTGTCATGCTGGGAGAGGTGGCGCAGCACTATCAGTGAGGTGGAAAAAGACTCATTAGGGAGTCGGCCCGTAATGAATGGCTGACAGCTGTCTGTCAGAACTGTGCGGCCCGATCGTAACTTTCATTCATTTTCTCCGTGATTGCCTTTCTCATTGCTTAGTCACAGCCTGGCTGCTCGTGCAAGTCTTTATTAACACAATGTAGGATTTGATGACATCATAAGAGCTAACCCCATGTTGATTTTCCGTACTTTGCCACCTTTTCTACCACCGGACCCAAAACATTGGGGAGGTAAAGACAATATAAACAGAACACAAAAGTTAAGCATTTACATAAATGAAAAGTTTATCATGTGCACAACTCTAAGTTTAGAGCAGCTCATAAGTACCACCGAGGTTTTAACACTGACTGACGAAAAGGGAACTTGAGCATTCACAGGATATTTACTGAAGACATTTTCCGTCTGATTTGGATCCACTTATCTTCTATAGGGCAAGGCCTTTAATCTTAGGCGGCCATATTTCTTGTAGATGGGACTCACTTGATGGGAACATCAAGTGAGTAAAGTGATCTCTTAAAATTACAGTACATTAGGGCTGACGACAGCCGGGGCAGGGCAGTTGGATAAGTTCGATTCTGGGAAACCCACCACTGCAGAACCACAACAGAAGCACTGAGGAGACACGATGTCGGATTGTCTTTGATACTGATCGAACGTCGTAGTAATAAAGTCATCACATGAATCATTAATCAAGAAGTGTAAAGCGGCCTTTTAGCCTTTTAAATATGGATTGTGCTGCCATGGAGGGTGTGGTGTGTTGCATTGCTCTTGCCTAAAGAAACAGGTTGGTTTTATATAGTCACCATGTTTTACCAGCTTGACGTTCTAGTCACTAACTCATCAATTCAACTAAACCAATGCTTCATTTACAACCAGTTGTTTTTCCATCTTGAGGGCATTGATCATTGCACCAACTAATGCTGCCGCGGCCAACGAGCCGGAGTCGTATCGATGCATCGAGCAAACCTGCAGGAAGGGTTAAATTCCTTTGATGAGGAGGGAACCCAATAATTGCCAACCATACAGATGTTTTATAATCACTATGTGACCAGTTTAAGGCTCCCTCGGGATCCATGTCTCTCACAAGCTAATCCATGATGCTCTTTACGGTAATCCATTCAAATAACTCTTCTCTAGTACCATCAATTAGGAATCCAGGCTGATGGAGGAGCTGGCACTCGACAGCTTGATGCGGATGAAGCTGCTGTGACCTGGACCAGATAATGATCATCACAGTGATCAATGATGAAGCACCAGAGGCCTTCAGTAGTCTTTATTTAAAACATCAGGCCTGATGCAAAAAACGAATCACATGAACAGGTTGTGACACGTACTAGTGATTCAAGAGAATTTGTAGTTTTGCCAGTTTTCACCTACTTTGAGTCCGAAGTGTTCAGACCTCTCACATGAGTCACGTCCGTGCCGTTTCCCACGGAATTAAATATGATACTGAAATTACAATATATTACTAAAAGAAACTGAATGCAAAATTAATATTCTATTCAACAGAATATCATCATCCAAGGTTTTTAGATTTTATAATCATATTTCGTCACAGCAACTCAAAGAGTTTGTATAGTTTTCGGCCCTCTATCACGTGACGTAACATTTTGTGTAAACTTCTTCTTTTTACTTGTTGGTCACATTTTTGCGACTGAAACTTGCCCACAAATGGAGCGGAACAGGTCGCCTTATTTTGCAAATATTTATAATATAATTTAGGGTCATCGATTGTGGTTATGATGAAATCTCAGGAACACCTCATGACCGGTGAATCAGACAACACGAAAATGTTCCTGATTGAGGGCTAGTGTTTCTTACAGTGGACTGTTCCTCCTGTAGCACACCCTGTATAAAACAGTTTAGTAAAAGCACATATCTCTGCTGGGGAACTAGGAATTATGGGTCCCATTATTGGTCTGGACACTCCTTTTTTTTTTTTTCGAAATAAAATAATTGAACTGGGAGTTTTGTGGTCCCTCTTCACTGGGCTCACAGACTCGCTAACACAGACGCTAACTTTCACCAGCTGCAGGAGCACTACATCTTAAGTTTTAATGACAGCGGCTAGAGCCTAGCTGCAACTCTTTCACGGGTTGCCAAACTTGTTTTAGAATGGCAATAAATCGTATGGCTTGTTGTGCTTTATATTTATATTTATATTTCTAATACGGAATTCTTATATTCCGTAAGAATTGGTGTAATATTTCAGGACAGTTCGACGTAAGAAAAATCCCTTTGGCTGCACTTGAAAGGCAGGGAGGATTAAATCAAAGTCATTCAATTGATCCAGCACTCAAACACATATTTGATGTGTCCAATTGGGGATTTTATTTTTGAAATCTGTCCAAACATGCCTTTCCTTATATGATTGTAAGGAATAAGGGAACTCAACTTCTAGTTTAAATCAAAATGACATAAATAGCTGCGCCCATTTGCAACAAAAAGGGAAAATGCATCAAAAGTACAATCACAAGGATTTCTTTTGTTGGTGATGACTCTAAAGCAGACAATTCAATATCCATTTAAGTGCTTTCTGGCAGAATTCACACACTTAATGTCTCGTTGCAAGCTGATTAAGATGATGATACACAAAGCACTGATACATTATCTGCAGTCTTCATTATTTCTACATAGCTTTGTTTCCACTGCATGACCGTTATTATCTTGCCTCTCCTTTTTCAGATTTGTTTGTTGGAGTTTCATTTTTTTTTAATAGCCACATCACTTCAGCCGAGTCAAGTATTGTTTTCCAAGTTGGGAATTTTACAATTTTTTTTTAAAGACCAGATGTTTATAACTATTCTAGCAGCACTATGAGGTTGGATTACTCATTTCACAGCAAAATGAATTGTAAATATTTACCTGCTATGAGTTTGATCTCAATACATCAGGGATATTCTTTTATAATCTTCTGCTACAGTTAAGTAAACAGCAAGAGGAAAGTGTTCAATTTAAACCAAACTCTACTGCTGTTGACATGTGCCTTGATGAAGCCAGAGGGCACTCCCCATCTGCTCTAATTTACACGACAGACTAGCTGAGTAACTAGTGAGTCAGTAAAACAGAAAGGTTGTGCAGGTCATGAACATGTTTTCCAAGAAAGTGAGCCAGTGATGATAACATTTCTAAGGCCGTGTCCCTTTTGTGAATGGCCTCTTGATGAGTACTAATATTTTGTATATATATATATAATAATGTTCACTGTGCACAAACTGTTCCTTTCACTGTACACACATCAGCCCATGAAATAACTAGTTTGTTGGTCGGTGGAAAGAAAAGAGACAGAACAAAGCAAAAGATTATTAAAAATACATTTAAAAGGATCATATGTTGGGAAGCAAATGAACGGTCACAGAGATATGGGTCATATGAAAACAGAACAAGGAATCAAATTTCACATTTATTGACATTTGTAGACATTTTATTCTAATTCCATCGCTAAGATTTTATAAATGAAAACTACAAGCATTAGCCTATTAAAGACCAGATGACATGTCCTTTGAGTGACTTGTCTCTGGCGCTGTACTTGTTATGTGTATTGACCAGTGGATTAGCGAAGGATTCTCTCTGATCCTCTTAGGGGGCGTTTGCTCATGCAGAGCTGCAGTTGGCTCAAGCTACAAGAGAAAGAAATACCTGCACTTACCTCGGGAATCTAGGTTGAAGTCTGCAGTGTGAGAAAGCATCCCTCGTGACCTCCAGCAGTGCAGATGTTCACTGATTTCTCCTTTTGAACTCTGAGGGGAAAAAAATAATTAATTTAGTACTTTTCTATCAAGATGTTTTTGGGCAACTTGTGACTGGATTCTTTTCATGTTGACAACACTTAACACTATCATATGACATGCAGGTATTTAAGCCAACACACAATCCAATACACGGAGGCCACACTTAATGGGGCTTGTGATAAAAAGCAGCTTCTTCAGAGGATAACCTTCTTTTGGCATTGCAGTCTCTGATTTGAATCCAGCAGCATGAATGTTCCTTTTCTCTCTCATTTTTCTTCAAGAATGGGAACCACCTCATTAACCTTATCTAGCAAGCAAAAGCTAATGAAATCCTGTGTTTCAGTGTCCGGTCTTGCCAAAGTTAGTTTTACTAATTAATCAAACATCCGTTCCCCAAACTCCCCCACATACCCCCCCCCCCACTCCTATCATCTTAATGACTCACTGTAAAGTGAATGAGAATGTGCTGCACAAACCGCCTGCGGGAGGCTACATGGCCACGACTTAATGCATTTTTATTGGAAGTTAAAATAAGAGAGAAAGCGAAGCTAAGGAGAGATGGATGTTTTGTATTCACTACAATAAGTGAAATAGAAATGAAACATGATTTCCTCATCTTTTATCCATGTTTCGTTCCCGCTCTCAGGATTCTGTTTAACGAGTCTCTACAGCATGCAACGATGCAAAGCTGCAATTTCCCCACCTTGAACATATGAATATCTGCACAAGACAAGCTCCAGATTACTGCACAATCAGTATTCATATTACTCCTCTTGCTCCAATGAAACAATTCCGTGCTCTCATCCCTTGTGAGTCAGAGTGTATGACATGCCGTTATCAGATGAAAAGCACCGGCAAAATTCAATCTCCAACAATCGGTAATGGAAATCTGCGAAATAGCTAGATTTTCAGTAAATGAGAGGACAATAGATAATGCCATTCACTTAGCTGCTAAGGCTGCTACTTGCATCCCAGTGAAAGGGGTGATAGTTTAAGTGGCGCAAGGCAGCTGCCTTTCAGCAAAGGCCCGAGACAACACAGAAAGCAGCGGAACCAAGAGAAAAGGCGAGTTCGGGAGTCTTCAGCAGCATTCTTTTAATTAACTCATCATAATGACTCCATTTAGCTGTTCAATGACCCATTTTACGGCATTGAACAGGCATGGGAAGCTCTCTGTCCTTGGCAGGGACAGTCCTGCAGCTGCCCCTGTCTGCCATGCTTTAACCAAGAGGGAACATTTCTTTCCCCCCCCTCTGGGCTTTAAAGGGATAGTTTGCGTGTTTTTGAAGAACAATTGTAGGAGGTGCTAATCCATAGTCAGTGTTTTACCTCCAGTAGATGGCGGTCGGCACGCCCCTAGTTTGGAGAAACAGGCATGGGGGGCAAAGTAATATTCTGCTGTGGACGGAGACAGCAGAGAAACGTATTTTAGCCACCAACAAAATCAATTAGTGTATGGTATATTCAGAATATGAATATCAACGGAGAAATGATCTGAAAGTGAAAGTGTTTGGTGGCTTTAACTTTTCCAGCATAGATATATTTTATTTTCACTTCAGTTCCCCGTTGATAATGGCTGTCTGACGGTAAGATAAAGAGGTGAGAATATTGTAAATATAGCGTATACACTTAAAGTGATATTGATTGTTTTAGGTGGCTAAAATCCATTTTGCTGCTGCCCCCGGGCCACAGCAGCACATTATTCTGCTCCCGTACTGGTTCTCCTTTCTGTTCCTCCAAACGCCATCGACTATAAATCACCTGATAGAAGCTTCTAGGTATGAGGTAAAACATGTGTCACATATGTACAGTAAAATGTTAGTGATAAATAGGTAGGTGATGCTTCAGTAGCAACGGTGTTCAGGTCACAGCTAGAGGGAATTTATTATTAATTTAACTCATTCGAATAATGTTTCTACAATAAGGTATGTAACACCTTATTTTGTAACACCGTATGGAACCACAGTTTAATTACACATAATAATGATCTGTTTCCTATGTGATAATCTTTTACTGACACTAACTAATAATAGTAAGCAGTGACTATTTAATATATTTAATATAATGTATAGTGGAGCAGTATCGATTCTCTTTTGAACAGAAACAGTCTCGCTGCCCAGAGACTCTCCTCTGTTGTGTTGCTTCTCATAAGACATGATGTACGTGAGGACGGGTCAGCTTGCAGCCCTGGAGGAGCGGCTGCAGGAGGGGAAGGGTGGAGGTGGTGAGGAGAAACAGACCCCATATGGTCTTGAGGAGCTGGAGTTTCTGGCACATCTCCAGGATGCTGACCCAGAGCATTGAAAGGTTGAGCACTGGCACCGTTCTGACTGATTCTGCCCAGCTGCTGACGTGCAGAGGAGCACACATGGATATGAGGACAAAAATAGCTTGCTGGAATCCACAGCTTGACGCAACTGTTCAGAATTTAAATCACTGCCAATTTATCCCGTCCCACGTCAACTTTCTATGAGACGACTTCCATCACAGCGTAGCAATATTTAGTTATTGTGGATAAAGGATGTTTCAGTTAATTTCAGCTGATCTGTGCTATTGCTGTCCTAAGTGGATGGTTTAGCAAAAAAAAAAATCCAATTTGTTACGCGTGAGGAGAGGGATTTTAAATTTGCTATTCAAGGCTGGCCATGTGCAATCTATTTGAATAAATAAAGAAGTTAAAATATTCAGAAAAGAAGTGACCCCAAGTCAATGTATGTGTGCCCCCTCATCTTCCTGTGCAAAAAAGCAGACCGTCTCGTTGTGCCCCTTCATTAATTGAGGAGATTAATGTGCTTAATGAGTGGTTGGCAGAGTAAAGGCCTCACATTTAAAACGATAGGAGAGAGTGAGATTTTCTAAATTAAGTGTTAAGAAATCCGCCAGGAGGTTACAGTATCTCACCCCTAAGCTTTACCGTGTACACCAAATCTGCACCCCCTCAATTTGCCTTTTGATACATTTGACAATATTAAGCTCATTAAAAGCAGTCGGCGTAATGCATGTAACTTATTATGGCTATAATTGTCAGGAAGATTATCTCAACATTTATACACACTGCTGTCATTTTGGCCATTATCATCAGCACTAACCAATTCATCTTGATGGTAAATACTTTGTCTCGTTTGCTTTTGATGAGTCCGCAGAAGTCACAGTAAAGAAAAAAACAGGGCTTTTCCTAAACCTAACAGTGTAACTTTGAAGCGTTGTTTTGTTTTGTTCTGTCTCCATTTTTAAATACGTTCCCCATGAAACGTAACTGAGAGTGCAGTTTAATTGTATGGAAATCATTCTTTTTGGAGACGGTGTTGCCTTTGCAGGGCTGCAACAATTATTTTCATTATTGGTGGCACAATTAGACCAAACGATTAGTTGATTAATTGACCAAATAATCAATTAACATCAGAAAACCAGTGAGAAGTGCCCATTGCAATTTCCTAATAGCATCTTCAGATGTCTTGTTTTGTCTGACCAACGGTCCACGACCCAAAGATCTTTGATTTACTATAATGTAAGAAAAAGGAGCACATTCCCACGTTTGAGAAGCTGGCACCATAAAATATTTGACATTTTGGCTTTGAAAACTGTAAAACATGTGCACATTTGAATTATCTCCTGGAAAGGGAAGCAGCCACACACTCGTACATTTCTTCAGAGGGAGGTGGAGGAAAGTTAAATTCAACATTTTGAGTCCAGCTTTGAGGAAACTATTTTGAAAATGAAAGAGGTTTAAATGTACCGGATGCAACTGTGAAGCTGATGCAAAGTGTTTACAAAAAGATATGACTCCAGCGCTCCCTCTCCCTCTGCTAGGAGTCAGTGTTGTACTCCTCTGTGATTCCAGTGAGCATCAGGTGTCACCAACAACCACCAGCAATTTAGAGAAAGTTTCCATAAAAATGTGTTGACCTCGGCACCATGGGCTATGTCACGCTGTGCACAGCTATCTGAGGTGTCCAGCTTCAAAATGTATCTCAATTCAAATCAACTCTATTTGTTAAATGTGAGGGAAAAAAGAAAGCATAGCATCAATCACACTGGCTGTGGCAACTTGCTTAAAAATAAAGAATGTTTCCTGCATTGATTTCTTATCTCTGTCTTTCATGATTAGAAAATCAAGTTGCGTAAGCCGACAGAACGCCGACAGGTTTATATTGTATTATAATATCATGTTTTAACTTCTGCTGGCCAAGCAACAAAAATTAAATCTCAGTGTTAAAGTGATAAGAAGTGTTGCTTTTCAACAACTGCACACATGGTTGGCTCCTTGCCTGGTAAACTTCAGTCAGAGTTACTTGTATTAGATGATTTTGACATGATGACAAGGTTTAGGTGGTGAATACACCTCCTGTTATGCACTCCACTGATCCTGAGCTGCCAATCAAGGAGCACCTCGCTTTGCAGCACTTAAACGTGTGGCAGCCGGGGCTGAGGAGGCTGTTCAAAAGCGACAACCAATCTTTGTAGCATGCTGCTCAGTCTGTTGTTTGTGACTGCGCAGCATGCTACAAAGATTGGTTGTGCTTTTGAACTGGCTTAAAGTGTCTCTGATCTTTGGAAGGTCCACTATCAGAATCATAATTACACCAACCATATTGAACAAAATGCAGCTTCTCTGTAACACAGTGAAAGGAATCACGAACTGGGCTTGTATTATATAAACCCAGATGGATCCAACTGATCATGACATAACCAAACTGGTGGTGAGGGTATTCAATTTACATATTATTTGCTAATACTCAAGATGTGAAGTTCCTGGTTTTACATCTTAGTGACTCTGACAGTCTCAGTAAAGCCTGAAGGTGTAGAAAAGAAGAAGCAACACAGCTAGTTTTCCCTTTGGAGAATAAGAGAGTATGCGCCGCCTGTTGAACCCACAAACAGCGAGCCTTGAGCAAAGCAACACAGACACACACACACACACACACACACACACACTCACACACACACACACACACACACACACACACATACAAACACACACAAGAATGCTTCCATTTAAACACTTGGCC